ACCAAGCTGCTTGCCTATTGTCCTGTAGCCCATCCCAGCCTTGTGCAGGTCTACAATTTTATCCCTGATGTCCTTACACAGCCCTCTGGTCTTGGCCATTGTGGAGAGGTTGGAGTCTGTTTGATTGAGTGTGTGGACAGGTGTCTTTTGTACAGGTAACGAGTTCAAACAGGTGCAGTTAATACAGGTAATGAGTGGAGAACAGGAGGGCTTCTTAAAGAAAAACGAACAGGTCTGTGAGAGCCGGAATTCTTACTGGTTGGTAGGTGATCAAATACTTATGTCATGCAATAAAATGCAAATTAATTACTTAAAAATCATACAATGTGATTTTCTAGATTCCGTCTCTCACAGTTGAAGTGTACCTATGATAAAAATTACAGACCTCTACATGCTTTGTAAGTAGGAAAACCTGCAAAATCGGCAGTGTACCAAATACTTGTTCTCCCCACTGTATATATATATTTTTTTTATTGGCTTATACTCCCCTATCATCTTGGCGATCTCATCGCAGAGTTACAGCATCAGGGAGTTACATGGCTAATCCTTAGGGAGAAATCCCGACCATCCAACAGACCCAATCTGGTGAGATTTGTTATTGAATCAAAACAAAAACTAAGAAAATAAAACAACAGCAGCAATACACATATCACTCGATGTGTGGAAAACTTCAATCCATTTGGAGTAACTGTCAACCATTACCACCATATATGTTTTCATTTTGCAGGCAGGCATGTGAAGAAAATCAATAAGCATATTTTCAAAGGGCAACATTTGCATATTTTCCAAAGGGCCCCAGGGGACTGGTAAATATTTTCCAAAGGGATACATTTGCATATATTCCAAAGGAACCCAGGGGACTGGTAATTCCCACTTTGGACACATGACTCACATCGTGATTCATGCGTCCAAAAAAACATCAACACTGCCTATTAAATAAAAAATAAACAAATTAGAATAACAAATCAAATTAGAATTACAACTCTTGATAACTCCAGAAGGAAATAATTGTATCCCATAAGGTAATGGTAAAATAGACTAGAGACAGGTGTCCCTCATTCAGGGGCAGCGCTCTCTCTCTGTCCTTCTTGTGGTCCGAAATCATATATAGGACTATAAATTATAAACTTCTACATTTACATTTAAGTCATTTAGCAGACGCTCTTATCCAGAGTGACTTACAGTTAGTGAGTGCATACATTTTTTTTCCTTCATACTAATTATTAGTGTTTACATAGCCCATTTAAATCTCACCCAATGTCTCTAGTCTTTCTCGTGAGGGTGATCAGGCCTCACCAGAAAGTCAGAACATAGATCAGAGGTCATTCAACCCCATTAGGTGAGTGTTTGTTTCCCTGTACCTCAGACATTATTTAAATATATTTTAACCATTTCAAACATTTTGTGTATCAGGTTTACATTGGGTTTTTCAGTACATTGTTATCAAGAGAATTTACGTGTGCAACCAAAACTCTGACAATAGAAACTTCAAAGAATTTCATTTGTGTACAGCATCCTTTCTAACCCGTGAAAAACCCACTAAAACCAAATAAAAAGATCACATAGACAATTCAGAAATGTCTATAGACCGCTACTTCCTATACATATAAAACAACACCGTGTTCAATAACACCACGTGCTATTATTAGTAGTCCCAGACTACGATGGGTGGTGGTGGACGGAACGCCTAGATAACGTTATAGATGGAAAAGTAGTGGTACCCTCCTTCTTCATCTTTATGTTTAGTTTAATATATTATTTTCATTTTTATACAAATTCATTTAAATTGACTTACTGAAATCAGTTGCTGTCCCTCAATTGTTCGCAGATGATGTGTCTCCTCCTGGGCAGCTCACAGTAAGGGTTTGGTCTGGGCGGGTCTCGTCGTCTTTTGGTCAGACAGGAATTTCCCTTACACTTCATACAATGGCGCCACCGGTTTTTCTTGCAGACCCCCACTGGAAAGCCCCGCAGGCAGGATCAATCATTAAGTTCGTGACGCCAAATTGTTGTGGAAATTCACCATCATGTCGTGGAAATTACCACCAGGGACACCTGAAGTCAATCTTAAATGAATCATCCTTTATTATCAGCGCGCTGGAGAGGTTCCAACCAACTCAATGTACCATACTACACATGTCAATCAGGAGCTCTGCTGGAGCAGTCCCAGCAGTTGTCTTGTATACGGCTCTACACAGACAAGTTATATTTGCATGATTTTACATAATTAATTCATTATTACCATTTTGCTTTATTCATGTGACCGACCAATACTGGTTCATAACATGTGACAGACCAATACCTCACGAGGCTTCTTCTCTCTAAGCTGAGACCTTGAAACAGAGATATCTTTCGTTCTCAAAACATAGGTCTTGGCATACTGCCAAATTGCAGCTACTGATAGTAAGGATTCGTAGTCAGTCACTTGCATGAGGACAGAAAACAGTTATTAGAAAAGCACATGAATAGAACAAAGAAATGTGTTATTAGAAATGCACAAACATTAAAAATGTCCAGCACACAATTATCCATCAAACATTATTTAATCCAGCCATCCTCATCCATCCTTCCATCTAATAATTGAAAATAACAATACCATCTAATTTTCTAAAATTTGATAAAGAGGATGAATAACAAACTCTCGCAATCTGTTGACAATATTTAATCAATATTTGTTATTAATTTTAAAAGGATATGCCTAGATTCATTCATTCATTCAGTTAACAGACTTATTGCATTCTAAAATGGAATGTGGACAAAAAAGTAACAGGAATGGAACGAATGTCTTCATAGTACATGGTTTTTCTCCAATATCTTAGAAAAATTGCATCCAAAAAACGCATTCCAAAAAACCTTCTACATTTAAGTCAGGCACCTCATTCAATAAGGCACACGCTGAATTTACAAATTGATATGCTTTGTTTGGCTGATGGGCCAAAACGGGTTTACCATTTCCACAAGTTGACAACCTTGCCCTTCCAGTTCATTTTCAGTGAAGTGAACTAAGGATATGCCAAATTTCATACATAAGTGTGATATACAGTAGGCTCCAAATTACTGGCACCCCTGACTGGCAATGCACAAACAATACTTTAAAAAATATAAACAATATAATTATAGAGATAAATTCAAAATACCAACATGTGAGAAATACTGTACTTTATTAATGTTTCAATGGAACCAACCAAAATCATACAATTATTGAATACTAAATGAATGTCACCAAAATCAAGGTTTCATAATTATTGGCACTCTTCATTTAGTACTTAGTGCAACCACCTCTGGCAAGGATAACAGCATGGAGTCTTTTCCTGTAATGTTTGACAAAGTTAAGGAACACATTTGGAGGGATTTTGGACCATTCCTCTATGCAGATCCTTTCAAGATCCTTCACATTCTTGGGTTTGCGCTTATCAACTGCCCTCTTCAACTCAGCCCACACATTTTCGATTGGATTGAGGTCCGGCGACTGAAATGGCCATGTCAGAACATTGATTTTGTTGTCACAGAATCATTTGTGTTTGGACCTTGAGGTATATTTTGGGTCATTGTCTTGTTGGAAAGTCCACCTATGGCCAAGTCCCAGCCTTCTGGCAGAGGCAACCAGATTGTCAGCCCAAATAGCCTGATACTTGGTGGAATTCATTATGCCATCAATCTTAACCAGTGCCCTGGACCTCTGGAATTAAAACTGCCCAAAAACATCACTTACACACCACTATATTTCACCGTGGGTATGAGGTGCCTCTCCCTGTATGCATCTCTGTTTCGACGCCAAATATGCCGATGCTGTATCTGACCAAAACTTTCAATTTTGGTCTCATCTGACCAGAGCACCTTCTTCCAGTCATAATTGAAATGACGTTTGGCAAACTCCAAGCGCTTGAATCTGTGTCTTGGGGTCAGAAAGGGCTTTCTTCTGGCAACCCTTCCAAATCTTCTGTGGTTGTGGTGTACGATGGTGCTTTTTGAAACCTGGTGACCCCAAGATGCCACCAAGTCCTGCAATTCTTTCACAGTGGTTCTTGGGGATTTTGTAGCTTCTCTCACCATCCTCCTCCCTATCCTGGGGGGCAAAATGCATTTGCATCCTCTACCTGTGAGGTTTTCAACTGTTCCATATCTTTTAAATGTTTTAATAATTGCCCTGACAGTGCTCAGTGGTATATTCAATCGTTTGTGGATATTCTTGTAGCAATTACCAGATTTATGAAGGTCTACAACCATCTGTCTCTTTTGAACTGCCAGTTCTTTTGTTTTCTTCATGGTGTTGGATGACAAAGGGATATTGCATGCGTGTTACCTCATTTCTATACCCTAGTGAAACAGGAAGTGATGTAATGGCTCAATTTAAGTTAGATAAACTTAAATAAGTGTAATTTAATTCCTGGTTTAATTTTGGTAGATGTTATTTACAATAATCTTTAAGGGTGCCATTAATTGTGAAACCTTGATTTGGAGGACATAGATTTTTAATTAAATCAATAAATGATTTTGGTGGGTTCCATTGGAACATTAATATAGTACAGTATTTCTCACATGTTGGTATTTTGAGTTTCTCTATAATTATATTGTTTATATTTTTTAAAGTATTGTTTGTGCATTGCCAGTCAGGGGTGCCAGTCATTTTGGAGCCTACTGTATCATCCAGTACTTACACTTATTAGTGTGCAATAGTACAAACAAAATAAAAGAAACAAAGTTGACACAAAGCCAACTAGCTGTAGAACTCTACATTCTCAGGGTACAGTGCTAGGTTTGCATGATAATGTTTTGTTTTGTTTTAGTCATTTAGCAGACGCTCTTATCCAGAGCGACTTACAGGAGCAATTAGGTTTAAGTGCCTTGCTCAAGGGCACATCGACAGAGTTTTTTCACCTAGTCGGCTCGGGGATTAGAACCAGCGACCTTTCGTTTACTGGCACAACGCTCTTACCCACTAAGCTACCTGCCGCCCCATGATAAAAAAACGTACATTTGAATGCTTGCTACTAAGTGGTGTACGTGTTCAGTTTTTGTTTCATTGTAAACTGGATAATGCAGAGTATTTAAGTCAAAATATGCATATTATTAACCCATCCCCCTTTGATGCTTACTTGCATCATGTCTACAAATACTACAGGGAACCTAAAAATCATTTTCATTTATATATTTAAAAGGCAGTCTTGTGGGGGGAAAAAATGCTAATAGTTTCTCCTCAATAGAGGGTTTACTACTGAATTGCAACATGATACTTTTCATGCCTTGCTAAGCGGGTTACTGTGATTGATTAGAAATGTACAATAACATCATTGCATAAAACGCTATATCGCTTCTCCAAATGCAAAAGGTACTGTAAACAAACACTGTAACTAAGATTTTCAGTTACTGATTTCGTAGACAAAAAGATTACACTTCTTATTTCACAAATCTAAAATATGTATAATGTATTCTGAATACACTAATACCCAGATTAGGTCAACTTCCTAAAGAAAATACTTGCACTGTATGAGTTTTGTATTTAAGCCCACCCCCTCACTTTGCACCGTACAAGTATGTACAGCTACGGTATATCATTATCAAACATTCTTTCTCATGCAAAAACTAGAAGCTTCTCACTCACGTCGTCAACAAATGTGATATTACATTTGACACTGCCAAACTGATGGCCGACTGACATAGAATATCAATAAATGATCTGAATGGAGGATGACCGACCATTATTGTGGTGCATTGGTGAGGGCTTGTGTTGCTCAATGGAATAAAAACAACCAGAGATGACAGCAGTGATATCCTTCCCCAGAGGTCACAAATCCTGGTCCCAGAGAGCTACAGGGTATGTAGGTTTTTATTCTAGCCTGGCACAAACACACCCATCTCAACTAATCAAGGTCATGATGATAAGGCAATCGATAGAATCCGATGTTTTAGTGCTTGGCGGGAACAAAAGCCAGCACACCCGGTAGCTCTCTAGTACCAAGGTTGGTGACCCATTATAACCGTTGCTGACCCAAATAACAATGCAAGTCTAAAAACAAACAAACATATGATGTGGTTGGAGCCTAGGTGTTTTAGCTCCAGACGTCCAGCGAGTACCGTCCCTTGGTCATCAGTTTCTTGATGTAGTCGGTGGCTTGAGTGCGTGTCATGCCTCCCAGCTCCTCTGCTATCTCATAGAAAGCTGTCTGCACATCCCTGGCCATGTTCCGCGCATCCCTAAAAACAGGAGCATTTCTCTATAAGACATTTGTCTTTTAACCCTTGTTTGAGGATTTTGTGAATTCGGGAGTGCTTTCAATAAATATGTAAATTCAATTTCAATCAATTTTATCGCCAAGGTACAAATGTTACTGGAGAAGATCCTTCCTTACCCGCAGATGTATATGTGTGCGTTGTCTGTGTGGATCTGCCTCCACAGGTCCTCCTTGTTGGTCCTCAGGAGATGCTGCACGTACACCTGGAGGGACGGTGAGAGGAAACGGAGAGAGCTACTACACCATCCTCTTGAGCTTCCAGTCTTCTCCACACAAACAAAAAACAGACCTTGCAAGGAAACGTGTTCGTCTTTCTTTATGAGATGAGGCAGCACAAACTCAATCCCTCAGGTATCCTCTGAGGGCTAGCCTAGGACTCTGTGTGGAGTATGTGTTGACCGTCCCCACTAATAGTACACTGAATGGTACAGAATCAGACAAGTATAGATACCGGTCTATATTACCAACAACCATGATTGGCAACACTCAAGAACGCTATGGAAATATGATAATGATTACAATCTTGTCTTGGTGTCCCAACTGCAGGGTGTGTAAGCTCAGATAGCCATATACCACCATATTGTTATCTATTCAATAAATATGTCATATTCATATTTTTAATAATAGTTTAAGGTCCTAGTGCTGAATAACTAATAAAACAATACCTTTTGGTCCTGGTCCCGAGAGAAAGCCACGTTGAGCTTCGTGATCACACCTGTCTTCTCAGCCTCCTCCAACTCCTCCTGGTACAGATAGTCCTCGTTCTTGTGCCTGCAGCCAAAGTACAAGACCGTCTCCCCCACCTCCTTGCCTACAGGAAAAAGCAGACCAATTGGCTTACTTGTATCCATACAAGACAGTTAAGGTGCTTTATTTTAGTCAGTGTGACACAGAACATGACAACTCCTAAAAAAAAAGACTATGCAGGATAACAAAAATCAGGAAATCAACACATGCTCAAACACTGCCATTCATCTATGGCTAGCTTCTATTACAGTGTCTACCATGTACCTTGCTCTTTGAGCCACCCTCGCTCCTGGATGAAGCCCATGAAGGGAGCGATGCCGGTCCCAGGACCGACCATGATGACTGGGTTGCTGGCCTTGAAGGGCAGGCGGAACTGGGACTTGCGGATGTACATGGGCACCGTGGACTTGTGGCCGTTGTCCGCAACCAGTTTGTTCTTCAGCCAGGTGGTGGCCACTCCCTTGGTGAGGCGCCCGGTTTTAGTTGTGTATTCCACCAGCACAGCACAGATGTGGATGCTATTGGGGTGGACCTACAAAGAGAATGAATCATTAACCACTCTTTTTAAATCACACTATTGCAGGTTGACCTACAATGGACGCTTAAAGATCCAATGCAGCTGTTTTTATTTCAATATGAAATAATCTCTGGGTAACAATTAAGTACCTTACTGTGATTGTTTTCAATTAAAATGAAACAAAAATAGCTTCTTAGCAAAGAGGAATTTTTCTAGCAAGAATTTTGCTAGGACTGTCTGGGAGTGGTTTGAGTGGGAAGGAGCAACTGTACATTTTCTGTTATTGGCAGAGGTTTGGAACTCTTTCTTATTGGCCTATTAACTAATTTACCGGATGGTGATGTCACCATGGAACGCCATACAAAAAAACACTAAAAAAGGGCATTATCACAATTTCTAAGTATTACTCTAACCTCAGAGTATAAATACACATAAAACACAGGAAAATCATGTTTTTGACTACACTGGGCCTTCAATAAAATTTGGTCATTTCACATTATCTGAATATATTTCTAGTGGATGACAGCGTCTGCTAAATAACTACTGTAAATGTAACATGAAAAATACATGTATTGACATAGAAGTTAGGGTGTGGGGTCATTAGGGGTGATGTACTGGGGTATATTCACTAGAAACCATACGAAAGAAACGCCTGTTTTAGTTTTTCTGTTGCAAAACGTTTTGCTACACTGCATGGATACACCCCTGTATATAGGTTCACCTTGGAGGAGGAGGCAATGGAGTAGTAGCGGGCCTGCAAGCGGGGCATGAGTTCACACAGGTGGTCGATGGGAGGCCGCAAGGACGGCAGATCCTCCAGGATGGCCAGGATGTTCCTGTTGTCTTCCAGCACAAAACTCTGGTACAGAGCCTAGTGGAGACCATAACAACAACACTCAGCTGGGATAACATGGAGTAGGTAGAAGTTGCCCCTAACCACTGATCTGGAGTCAGGCATCTGGGTCAGATACATGAGGGTCAGATATATTTACCATCCTCCTAAATTGGTTAAGGCTGGAGTTAATCTGATCCTAGATCTGTGCTTAGGGGCAACTTTTCACATGGTGTTATAGGCTTATCAGGGTTGGGGTCAATTTCATTTAAATTCGGTCAGGAAATACATTTAAATTCCAATTTTTCTCAATGCTTTTCAAGTTTGCTTCCTGAATTGACATTGCATTGACCCCAACCCTGAGGCTTAAGTGTACTTTCCCACTACTAATAACCCTTCTTGTGTATGTTGAGTTAATCTTGACTACTTTGATTAGAATAGGAGTAGAGAAAATAGATAAGTTAATAGTGTCACAGCCACACACCTTGCCCTCGGGAGCAGACGAGGCCATCTTGCGCATGTTCTCCTGGTCCTTGGGGTCGGTGGCGTACTGGGCCAGCTCATACAGGACGTTGGTGCGAGGCGGGTGGATGATGTCCAGGTAGTGGGTCAGAGCCGTACGGTAGGTGGTGGGGCAAGGGAACGGGTGCTTCTTATTGGACTCCTCTGATAAACGACATCAGATAACATCACATTAACATTGGTTATACATTAAGGGACAGTTTCCCCAGACACAGATTAAGCCTAATCTTGGACTAAATTGTATTCTCAATGAAGTTTATTTTTAGTCCAGGACTAGGCTTAATCTGGGTAAGGGAAACCGACCCTAAGATTTAGAGTAATAAAACGCAGTTGGTGATTACACAAAACCTTCTCCCTCTGCTTCAAAAAAAGTTCATACAGGGAGAATAACATTTCAAGAGATGTCCAAACAGAATGTGTTTGTTTAAGGATCTTCAAAAGACATTGAGAGATATTTGGAGGACTCTGAGTCAAGGTGTTGCGTCAGGTCAGTGCCGCACCATCAAGGTTGTTGAGAGAGATAACTAAATCAAGGTCCACGCCAAGGATCTGTCCCAGTTTGTTCACGATCGCTGTGTCATTGGTGGGATAGACGGCAACGTGGTCTCCCGACTCATATCTACAAAGACAGAATGACAAAGGGTTTTCAAGTCATCTTTCCACTATGTGAAAGGCACCATTTCATCCAAGAAGTGTAGCCTATACCTTTTAAGGAAATACTGTCTGGGAGGTAGAGATAGGTTGGTAACGATACAAAGACAAAGTTACGGCTCTCTTGGCTCTCTCTCTTACCTAATCTTGGAGCCTGTAATGTCCACTTCAAGGTGCATGAGATGCCTGTCGCCTGCTTTGTTGAGCTTGCGGTTAACAGTGACTGGAGCCAGGAAGGGGTTTTTTGCATCAAAAGGACTGGGGGGAAAAGGATCAATAGAATTTAAAACCAGTGAACTATGCACATCAGTATGCAGAGACAACATGAGGTAAATCATAGAGGTGAACATCGACTGATGAAGCAGTGTTGCGCTTTAGCATTCCAGCTAGGAAATCCCCTTTAGCTCCACTAGGGGGCCGTAATACTTGTTTTGAGTGAGAAATCTATAAAACATGAATGAAACTATGTAGCAGATATTGTCATGATAAGTGAAGAGGATGGGGTAGAATAACTCACGGTTTCTGGGTCTCAAAGCTCTTCAGACGCCCCAACTCTCCTGTGTACACCTTGTTCATGTTGATGTCATTGTGCTCCTTGAGCTCGTACTGACGAATGCTAATGTAGAGCGAGAGGGCCTACAGTTAAATCTTTGTGTCTGTGATTTGAGGAGGGAAAATGAGAATGTGATGAAGACAATAAATTGGGCTAAGTACCTGGAGTCCTCTCCTGAAGCCTCCACTCCAAAGTGCTCGCACATGGCTGGCCAGAACTGCTCCCTCCATGTCACAAAGTCCTCCTCCAGGCTGAACGATGAAAAGAAGTAGAAAAAAACCCTCTTATCAACCCCCATTTCCATCCTTCGGCCATCATTTTGATCTCTACATCAGGGGTCTGAAAACACCGGTCACACTTTGAGTCGGGAGTGATCCAAGGTTGTGTCCCAATTATCTCTCCTTCCTCCCAGAGTGTATACTCGCTCACTTCCCAACACGGATTTGAAAGGAAATGACTGGTATAAGAAATATGGTGGAAACTCCCATTTGCTCATGCCTCCACCAATCCAATGGCTTTAGATTTCTGGGAAGTAATAAACTAGTGCACTCTTCAGGAGAAAGGAGACCTTGTTGGGACGCACCCCCTCCAACGCAGCCTCACTCACTTGCCGTCGTCGTCTCCCATGCCCAGGTCGAAGACCCTCTTGGCTCCCAGCTCCTCCAGCCTCTTGTCCACGTACACCCCCATGGCATTGTAGTGTTCATATGTCTTGTTACCCAACGCAAACACCTGCAGGGAGAGACATGTCAACATCAGTCCCTTACAGTTAAAAAAAAAACAACTAACGTTCAACATATTCAATATAACTTCGTATAATATATACAGTTGAAGTCGGAAGTTTACATACACCTTAGCCAAATACATCTAAACTCAGTTTTTCACAATTCCTGACATTTAATCCTAGTAAAAATTCCCTCTTAGGTCAGTTAGGATCACCACTTTATTTTAAGAATGTGAAATGTCAGAATAATAGCAGAGAGAATGATTTATTTCATATTTTATTTCTTTCATCACATTCCCAGTGGGTCAGAAGTTTACATACACTCAATTAGTATTTGGTAGCGTTGTCTTTAAATTGTTTAACTTGGGTCAACCATTTCGGGTAGCCTTCCACAAGCTTCCCACAATAAGTTGGGTGAATTTTGGCCCATTCCTCCTGACAGAGCTGGTGTAACTGAGTCAGGTTTGTAGGCCTCCTTGCTCGCACACGCTTTTTCAGTTCTGCCCACAAATGTTCTATAGGATTGAGGTCAGGGCTTTGTGATGGCCATTCAATACCTTGACTTTGTTGTCCTTAAGCCATTTTGCCACAACTTTGGAAGTATGCTTGGGGTCATTGTCCATTTGGAAGACCCATTTGCGACCAAGCTTTAACTTCCTGACTGATCTCTTGAGATGTTGCTTCAATATATCCACCTAATTTTCCTTCCTCATGATGCCATCTATTTTGTGAAGTGCACCAGTCCCTCATGCAGCAAAGCACCCCCACAGCATGATGCTGCCACCCCAGTGCTTCACGGTTGGGATGGTGTTCTTCGGCTTGCAAGCTACCCCCTTTTTCCTCCAAACATAACGATGGTCATTATGGCCAAACAGTTCTAGTTTTGTTTCATCAGACCAAAGGACATTTCTCCAAAAAGTACGATCTTTGTCCCCATGTGCAGTTGCAAACCATAGTCTGGCTTTTTTATGGCGGTTTTGGAGCAGTGGCTTCTTCCTTGCTGAGCGGCCTTTCAGGTTATGTCGATATAGGACTTGTTTTACTGTGGATATAGATACTTTTGTACCTGTTTCTTCCAGCATCTTCACAAGGTCCTTTGCTGTTCTTCTGGGATTGATTTGCAATTTTCGCACCAAAGAACGTTAATCTCTAGGAGACAGAACGCGTCTCCTTCCTGAGCGGTATGACAGCTGCGTGGTCCCATGGTGTTTGTACTTGCGTACTATTGTTTGTACAGATGAACGTGGTACCTTCAGGCGTTTGAAAATTGCTCCCAAGGATGAACCAGACCTGTGGAGGTCTACAATTTTTTTTCTGAGGTCTTGGCTGATTTCTTTTGATTCCCAGGAAGTTAAAGTTTGGTCGCAAATGGGTCTTCCAAATGGACAATGACCCCAAGCACACTTCCAAAGGTGTGTTAAAATGGCTTAAGGACAACAAAGTCAAGGTATTGGAGTGGCCATCACAAAGGCCTGACCTCAAGCCTATAGAAAATGTGTGGGCAGAACTGAAAAAGCGTGTGCGAGCAAGGAGGCCTACAAACCTGACTCAGTTACACCAGCTCTGTCAGGAGGAATGGGCCAAAGTTCACCCAACTTATTGTGGGAAGCTTGTGGAAGGCTACCCGAACCGTTTGACCCAAGTTAAACAATTTAAAGGCAATGCTCCCAAATACTAATTGAGTGTATGTAAACTTCTGACCCACTGGGAATGTGATGAAAGAAATAAAGCTGAAATAAAATCACTCTCTACTATTATTCTGACATTTCACATTCTTAAAATAAAGTGGTGATCCTAACTGACCTAAGACAGGGAATTTTTACTAGGATTAAATGTCAGGAATTGTGAAACGCACACAGAGACATTCACACACACTGAACGCAAGCTCCTGCTGCGAGTACACTGAACGTTATTCATCTTTCATTCAGTGTAATTAATGCTGTCTTTCAAGTCTAGGACAGAAAGACACTGGCAGGGAGTGGAAGGAGCCCAAGTGACCATTCAGAGAGCCCGGCCAGATTGCCTCCAGTCACAAGTTAAATTCTTCACCCCATTGAGGGCAGGACCGTTGGACCAACCCCGACAATGCCCAACCAGCCAGGATGGCACGCATGTCATCTATGGCCGAAGCCAGAACTCAACCATACACATAAAGCACATTTTTTACATGTTGGCATTACTCATCTCGGTCTCACACTAAAGTTCATCCATGTGAAATACACATTTGAAGTGAACGATTGGCAAATGTATGTTAATGGTGACAACAGGAGTTTTTCTTGGGCAAACTCCTGGTCCTGATTATGAATGATGGGGGGGAGGAGAGAGAGAGAGACCGAGAGTGAGAGAGGGAAAGAGATACTCACGGTGTAGTTGACTCCATCCAGTTTCCCGTCGGTCTCCTGCAGCCAGTCATAGAAGTCCTGGGCGTTGTCTGTGGGGTCTCCTTCTCCGTAAGTGGCCATGCAGAAGATGGCCAGGGAGTTGTCCATTTCAGCCAGACGGGACAGCTCAGACTGTGGATTAGAATACGCCTGGACATTAGAGATTTGCTATTACATGTGCTGTATGCCATTCAGGGCACTATTAGCTTTTACATTTTACGGAACAGGTCCTTGGCTCAAGAGACTAATATTGTTAGGAGGGGTACAGTTGAGCCACCTTTGAGCTATGCAGGAATGAATCCTTATTGGAGCTGACGGGGCTGCAGTAGAGAAGACTCATTATAATATAATAATATGCCATTTAGCGGACGCTTTTATCCAAAGCGACTTACAGTCATGTGTGCATACATTTTTATGTATGGGTGGTCCCGGGGATCGAACCCACTACCCTGGCGTTACAAGCGCCATGCTCTACCAATTGAGCTACATAGGGTTGTCATAAATGGGTTATTAGAAGCGTTATTATACTAAGGGTGCTTTCACATATTCCCTGTATGATTCAGATCTTGCCGCTTTTGGTACCCTGATCCATGCTATAAAGCCTGTGTGAAACGCAAACAAACCCTGACTGAAGCGAATCCTGGACCTGTGTGAGTAGCGGGTCCAAGACCCAGGACAAGAGTACCAGGTATTGTGACGCGGCAGCACGGGTTGCATGGTACTTTTTGCCCATTGTAAACAAGCTAGCTTGCTAACATCATGTAGAATGCAAATCGCTCCCAAACAATTATTTTCAGGTCTTGTGAAAGCAAAACCTATTTTGTAAAATTCTCATATGATCCTGAAAAACGGAACCGGGGTACCGAATTTCATATGTGAAAATGTCCTAAGGTTGTTCCTTTGAACCAATATAGGAATGTAATTAGTTAGTTATTACCATGTCGTATTCCTCGGGGTCGGCAGCCATACCCTTCATGCCATAACGCTGGGCGTCTTTGGACAGCCGGTTGGCAAACTCCTCGCCCGTGCCTGTCTGAGAGCCATAGAATACCACGATGTTCCTACCCTGGAGAGGGAAATAGCAGCAACACATGGAATGAGGGCCAGGAGTTTTTTCCTGACCACATGACCTGGCGGCCAGGAAAAAACTCCAGGCCCTAGTTATAAGCAAATCCCAACCCACCCTGTTGCCATTTAACTTTTTGCTGTAAAATAACGAGGTAAAATAACCATTTATGGTTCCCATGATAAATCATTAGACAGTGAGCAACAGAGACAAAACTAAATGACGTTGTAAAATACTATAATTATTGTTTTTATTTCACCTTCTGATATCTGGGGACTTTACAGCCAAATCACACTTGCTTACTCAAGCCTTTATCAATTTCTCAAGGTCAGCTAGTAATGCGCAGACCTAGGTTCAAATCCTATTTGAAATCTTTCAAATACTTTTAGCATTTGCTCTTTTCTGCCTGGATTGCCAGATGGGCGGGGTTTTCACCTTTTCAACTATTCTATTGGTTCTATTGTACCAGACATGCTCAATCAAGCCCAGAAAATATTTCAAATGATTTCAAATAGTATTTTAACCCAGGTCTGTACTGAGGAGTCCGGAGGATCCACTGCAATTCGTCAAATCTGTCCTCTACCTAATAACCATTATGTAAAGCCAGTCTAGTAGCTAGACCATTATCCTTCCCACCCCAAAAACACTGAAAAATTGAAAAACTCACAGTTCTCTTCATCTTTTCAATAAAACTAGTATCTCGAGTAGAAGGTGCTCTGAAAGAAAAAGGAGACAAATGTTATGCACTTCCAAAGAAAATCCTGCACTGAACAATCATTCTTTCATCACTATCTGCTGGGACATAAAAAACAGCAAATCAATTATGCTTTTCACAAGCAAGAAAAGCACACATGCCTAGTACAGGGACCAAACATTCACTAATGGTTTATCATCACACTATGCACTTTAATGGGAATGTTACAAGCATGTCATTGGAGGACCTTCACACTTTCCTATAGCCTCATTGCCAGATCGGTTTGTGTTTTAGCCAACATTGCTTGGTATTACTGTGAACACAGAGGAGTTGGCTAAAAGAACACCAGGCTAACTTATTTAAGAGCCTATTTCACTACGAGAGATTACCTAGAGAGAGATTGAGAAAATACCCTCGGCTAGACCTTCTACTGTAATGTAAACTTGTTAACTTTTCACCTCTCGACCGCTGCTTCTGGAGGTAGCACGTCACTGGGCTGACAGTTGCCCCCCTCCAAGCAAGGCAGTGTTAAAAAATGGTCTTGTTAAGCCCAACACCCCTACAATAAACATTGTAGTAGCAGAGCAGTGTTTTTGAAAAAGCTGAAATATAGTCATTTTCCTTATATTTTATACTTATTTTATTGAGTTTTTACCTGAAATTGCAGTAACAGCCTGTTATATTCTGAAATTGTAGACGTAGCTTTAAAAAAATAATTTAAACTGTCAACAGTTCTTGGCTGACTGCACTGAACCACGTAAATCAGCTATTCTCAACTCCCCAGTGAATTCCCCACTTGTTTTTGTCGCAATTAGCTTTTACCACATGTAATGATTTGCATGATATTGATAAAAATGAAGCCTGATTTGTTCTAATGTTGTAAGGTAGGCCTACTCTACTTTTATATTTCGTATGAGAGGGGTAATCGTTAATTTTTGATAGGCTAACGTTACTTAATGATGCATGTCAGCTTTAGTCACTGTGCTTTTGTATTGAAGCTGAAATGTAGTGAGTGTACAGACGTGAAAATAAACCCTTTGTCTGCACATGCTTGTGAATTGTTGCATTATTCAAGAGTGTAATGTGGTTTGGTTGCATCATTCAAGAGTGCAATATGGTTAAGATGAAAAGTTGCTTGCATAGTTGAATAGTTTGTTATAAGCCTGCTTTACTGGCTAGTGGCTATACTGGGATATTTACGGTAAATTTAAGCTGCAGAGCAAGACCGTTCATTGCCCCCGAACCCTCTCTTGGCACATGACATTACATTGCTAACGTACATTTTAAAAGGTTATGTACATATTATGTAAATTGAAATCTCGTCACGGTCCCTCTGCTACAACTCTTCAATGTGAATTGGCCCCAAGCCGTTTGAGAGTTGACCGATGTCCTCTCTCTCTCAACACAGGGTAATGTAAGGTCAAGGGGGGATAATGTGCTTGGCAAGGCCAATGACGTAACACAGGTCCTAATACAGCGTCCTCCCTGTCCTGACATTCTTTTAAAAGGATATTCTACTAAAAAAAACATGAGTATTTTGTTAATTAGTCCCCTGTTGAAACAGTCCCCCCCCCAAAAAAAGTGTGCATGTCGGCAGTGTGATGGTGCGTTTTTTTCATCATACGATGCATTTTGCGTCAGCACACTTTTTGCTGCGTAAATATCCCTGGCTGTAACATGACTCATAGAATTGTTTCTCTATTTCTTAATTTCCTTTCCAATTTACTAGTAAGTGTTACTGTCAGGCTAGGGTGAGTAACGTTCAGTGAAGTATGACAGGCAAGCATGCTTGCAAAACGACCTTTTAGCTCAAAAGCTTTGCTTGCGGTCTTGAATCTTCACCCTGTCAAAAAAATGTAAGACACAAAAATGTAAATTGACATTTAATGTCAAAGATTAACTTTGAAATTGTCCATACTGCAACATTTGGACTATATGAGAATGTCCACCATGCATATTTCCTTTTGTATTCACATTTGAGTAAAGATGGTGTGACGCTGAGAACTTGCAAATACATATTTAAAAAAAAAAAGTGTGAGAGCTATCACATTTTGTACCATATGTTACAGTCTTAAAGGCAAGTGCACTTCCTGATTTGGCCTTGTTTTAGATTTGGTTCATTAAGAAATGCTAGCTGCCATGACTGAACTCAAAACGTGAGTTGGTTTCGGGTTATGGTTTGATGTGGGCATCTCGTGTGTGTGTGTGTGTTCGCAGGTGGGAAGATTTTGCCAAATTATTAGCTTCAGCCGGCTGGTGTGCGACCGTGGCAAAATTGGTTTGACTTTGGATAGCCCATCTCCGGGGCTAGTTAGGGACCGTCATATTACACAATGTAAATGAGACAATATTTTCATGTTTCACACCATTTAGTTTTCATTAAACGCTTTCAATATTTGTATATGAATTTCTAAAACGTATAGTTAGATGTTTTTAAGTCAATGAAATTTGGAGCTATTGGAATTTTAACATTGTCCCCATAGGGATATGCAAAGTCAATACTAAGACCTTTTAAAAAAATCAAAAGGAAGTTTGTTCTGAAGTGTCTGTCCTATATATGAGAGATTAGTAAACTATATATTATTTTGTTATTGTATTTAACCCCATATTTTAGGCACGAAACTATCTCCATATATACTGGACTTCCATTCGTTTTTTTTTTTTAAACTGGTAAGCAGCTACCTTCAGACTAGTCTTGTGAGGCTTGCGGGCGTCCTAGAGCAAACCGACATGTACAGTGAGGGAAAAAAGTATTTGATCCCCTCCTGATTTTGTACGTTTGCCCACTGACAAAGAAATGATCAGTCTATAATTTTAATGGTAGGTTTATTTGAACAGTAAGAGACAGAATAACAACAAAATAATCCAGAAGAACGCATGTCAAAATTTTTATTGATTTGCATTTTAATGAGGGAAATAAGTATTTGACCCCATCTCAATCAGAAAGATTTCTGGCTCCCAGGTATCTTTTATACAGGTAATGAGCTGAGATTAGGAGCACACTCTTAAAGGGAGTGCTCCTAATCTCAGTTTGTTACCTGTATAAAAGACACCTGTCCACAGAAGCAATCAATCAGATTCCAAACTCTCCACCATGGCCAAGACCAAAGTGCTCTCCAAGGACGTCAGGGACAAGATTGTAGACCTACACAAGGCTGGAATGGGCTACAAGACCATCGCCAAGCAGCTTGGTGAGAAGGTGACAACAGTTGGTGTGATTATTCGCAAATGGAAGAAACAAAATAACTGTCAGTCTCCCTCGGCCTGGGGCTCCATGCAAGATCTCACCTCGTGGAGTTGCAATGATCATGTGAACGGTGAGGAATCAGCCCAGAACTACACAGGAGGATCTTGTCAATGATCTCAAGGCAGCTGGGACCATAGTCACCAAGAAAATAATTGGTAATACACTGAAATCCTGCAGCACCCGCAAGGTCCCCCTGCTCAAGAAAGCACGTATACAGGGCCGTCTGAAGTTTGCCAATGAACATCTGAATGATTCAGAGGAGAACTGATTGAAAGTGTTGTGGTCAAATGAGAACAAAATCGAGCTCTTTGACATCAACTCAACTCGCCGTGTTTGGAGGAGGAGGAATGCTGCCTATGACCCCAAGAACACCATCCCCACCGTCAAACATGGAGGTGGAAACATTATGCTTTGGGGGTGTTTTTCTGCTAAGGGGACAGGACAACTTCACCGCATCAAAGGGACGATGGACGGGGCCATATACTGTCAAATCTTGGGTGAGAACGTCCTTCCCTCAGCCAGGGCATTGAAAATGGGTCGTGGATGGGTATTCCAGCATGACAATGACCCAAAAACAATTGCTTGGTCTAGTCATGCAGAGCTCCCTTGAAAATGAGACCTTGGCCTCTGGAACTACCCCTGCCTAAATAAAGGTTAAATAAATACATCTGGGGTCTGTACAAATAATAATGCAAGACAAACCGTTTCAGGCTGGGGGGATGCAGCAGAGCACAAAGGGAATACTGCACCTTTCTTCCAAACATCATCATCAAACGTCAAATGAGTGGACAGCTGCAGTACTCTATGCAATGAAATGGGCACAAACAATCACCAACAGCAAACACTAATTAGAAATTAGTAGGTATAGGCTAGTCTGAATGATTTTAGACAATTCAGTAAACTGAAGCAGCTTAAAAATCGGTTGAGTGTCAGCCGAGTAAGGTTTTTGTTAAAGACTGGGAAATAAATACTTGCTCTCAACAAAATGCTTTCTGGCCCTATCCCCCTCTTGTTCACGCTCTTTGCCAAAAGCCGACTGTTAGACAAGGACCAATGATA